AATACATCATAGCTGTTAGAATCCATAGTCTATGTTAAAAAAATATGTTAAAAAACATACTGTTTCTATTGCTCTTCTCTATGAGGTTAACATGGAAACAACTTAAGGAAAAGTAAACAAACACAGCCACAGATGCACATGTTGCCAAGGACTGTGAGCAGAGGAAACAGACGAATACTGTACACTGTGTAAAAGGAACAACAGATATAAGGTGAGCAGCTCACCTCTTCTGTCCTTCGAGTCAGAATTACCTGTGTAATAAGTAAAAAAAAAAAAAAAAAAAAAAAAAAAAAAATAGAAACATTCATTCAGGTTAAAGAAATACATTAAAGTTCAATTTAGAGTACAACAAAACAAGGATTAGGAATGTTTTCCTCCATGAAGCATCCTCCAACTGGGAAACTAGCAGATTCACTAAACTTTGGACAGTACAGATTCACTAAACTTTGGCCTTCTCCCTCGGTACACAAATAGTGTAGCATCAATATTCACAAAAAGTAAAAGAATGCAAAGAGAACACATGTCATTAGAGGACTTTATGTCTTTTGCTCCATTAAAATTCAAGAGGATAAAATTAAGTAAGGATATAAAAGACCAAAATGATAAGAAGTAATAAAATCTAATTAGTAGATACCAATCTCTACATACTAACACAGAAAACCTTCTTTTCAAAGGCTAGTGAAATATCCACAACCCTTATAAATCCCAACAGTAGAACCAGTACAATATTCTTTTGTCCCAATGCAATAAAATTAGAAATTAACACAGTAAGAAAACACTTGAAAATTAAAATCAAAACCAAAATGAGGCCTTGTGCGGCAGATCACCTGAGGTCAGGAGTTCTAGACTAGTGTGGCCAACATGGTGAAACCCCGTCTCTACTAAAAATACAAAAAAATTAGCTGGGCATGGTGACGGGTGCCTATAATCCCAGCTACTTGACAGGCTGAGGCATGAGAATCACTTAAGCCCAGGAGGGGAAGGTTGAAGTGAGCAGAGATCATGCCATTGCACTCCAGCCTCAGCAACTGAGCGAAACACTATTTCTTCTTTTTTTTTTTTTTGAGACGGGAGTTTTGCTCTTGTTACCTAGGCTGGAGTGCAATGGTGCGATCTTGGCTCACTGCAACCTCCGCCTCCTGGGTTCAGGCAATTCTCCTGCCTCAGCCTCCTGAGTAGCTGGGACTACAGGCGCGTGCCACCATGCCCAGCTAATTTTGTATTTTTAGTAGAGACGGGGTTTCTCCATGTTGGTCAGGCTGGTCTCGAACTCCTGACCTCAGGTTATCCGCCCATCTAGGCCTCCCAAAGTGCTGGGATTATAGATGTGACCTACTGCATCTGGTTGCGAGACACTATTTCAAAAAAAAAAAAAAAAAATCAAAACCAAAATGGGCCGGACACAGTGGCTCATGTCTTTAATCCCAGCACTTTGGAAGAAAATCCAAATCCCAGCACTGCGGCATGAGAATCACCTGAACCTGGGAGGGAGAGGTTGCAGTAACCTGAGATCCCACCACTGTACTCTGGCCTGGGTGACAGAGTGAGACTCTATCTCAGAAAACAATCAGGCAAACAAACCAAAAACCCAAAATAGAAAAATACCTTAAAAATAACAATGATGAGAAGTTTTGTGGCAGAACCTGCCAACGGAGATCTCCTCCTCTCAAATCAGTCTCTTCCTCTCCTTGCCTTGATATACAACTTTTGTTTTTCAGCTGAGCACCAAGCTCTCCTGCCAGAGACTACATTTGAGACTCTTTTGTGCTAGGTATAGTCATGTGATGAATTCTAGCCAATGGGATGTGAGCTAAAGCAATGTGACTAACTTTCAGGTCACAGCTTTTGGAAAAAAAAAAGGCCCCTATTCCCTTTGTTCTTCATTAACAGTGGTTGGAACTAGAACCCAATGGTGGGAACTATCTATAACCAAACAGATAAGGACAATATTAGGATGTCAGGGCCACAAGAGGAAAGGAATTTGGGCCCTACTGAAACAAACGCCTTGCCTAACTCTGGAATGTGACTGGGGAAAGACATTTTTGTCTTACTTAAGTCACTGAATTTTGGTATCTTTGTCAGAGCAGCTTGTAGTGCATACTAATACAACTACCTATGGGATGTGGCTAAAGCTGTGCTTGTGCAGAATTTACCACACTAAATGTATTAATTAACTAGAAAGAACAAAAATAAATAAAGCACTCAATTCAAGAAGATGGAAAAAGCATAAAATAAATCTAAGGAAGTTCTTTGGAAGAAAAAAGGCAACAAACCCATGAAATAAATGATTAGTCAACCTAAACAAAAATACAAAAGACATAAAATAAAATTAAAAAATTAATAGCTCTGTAGGATATTACAATAAATAATCACAAGAGAAAACTTTTTCTCATTCAATACATCTGAACACATGAATGAAATGGCCAGATGTGGTGGCTCACACCTGTAATCCTAGCACTCTGAGAGGCCAAGACGGAGGATCGCTTGAGCCCAGGAGTTCGAGACCAGCCTGGGCAACATGGTGAAACCCCGTCTCTACAAAAAACAAACAAACAAACAAAAAAACAAAAAAACCACAAAATATTAGCTGGGTATGATGGGACATGCCTATAATCCCAACTTCTTGGGAAGCTGAGGTGAGAGGATCACCTGAGCCCAGGAGGTGGTGGTCACAATGAGCAGAGATTGAGCCACTGCACTCCAGCCTGGGCAACAGTGAGACCCTGTCTTAAAAAATAAATAAATGATGAAGTGCATTTTTTACAGTAAAATCCACAACCACAACATATACCTGTTAAGTTTTATAAATTTAATAAATACATAAGAATGAACAAATGAGTGAAGTATTGGTTGATGGGTAACAGTGAGCAGGGACATTGAGTCCAAATAAAAAGTGTATATAGATTTATAGTATCCAATAATTTTACAAAGGAATAGAAACCTTTCTAAGCCTGAATAAATGTTCAAGAAAATATATAAAAATAAATAAATAAATGCATAGTTTTCAGTGTAAACTTTCAAATCCTTTCATGTAGCAAAACAAAACACTAAAAACTGAAACTTATCTAAAAGAATACACAATACACACGCAAAGGAAAAACACAGCCCAATCTCATTTAGGGATATTTTGTGAATAGACAGAGAAAATTCTAAATGAAAAAAAAAAAAAAAGAAATAATATCAAACAGACTGCAACAGATTACAAGAATGATACAATATGGTTGGGTGGCCTGGCTCATGCCTGTAATCCCAGTGCTTTTGAAGGCTGAGGCTGAGGATTGCTTGAGGTCAGGTGTTCATGACCAGTTTGGGTAACACAGTGAGTCCCTGTCTCTGAACAAATTTAAAAATTAGCTGAGCATGATGACATGTGCCTATAGTCCTTAGTTACTTGGAAGTTTGAGGTGGAGTTTGCTTAAATCCAGGAGTTTGAGGTTATAGTGAGCCATGATCATGTCATTACACTCCAGCCTAGATGACTCAAAGGAAAAGACTTAAAGCAAAGCAAAGGTCAACAGGAAAGAAAAATTAAGAAGATTAAATAATTAATTCACAGCAAGATGCTGTCTCTAAAAGAGAAAGAAATAAATAAAAACTATTAATAGAATCCACCATAGAAACAGACCAAGAGAAAAAAATCATACAGATCTTGCTCATTGATCTTGAACAGGCAATTGACAAAATTTAACACCCATTCCTCACATAAATGCTCATTAAAACAAAAATAAATTGTTATATCCTGAACACAGTAAAATATGTTTATCTCAAGAGTCAGCACCATGTATAATGAAAAACCACTGAAAGTGTCTTCCTTATCAGATAAAAGACAATGCTGTCTGCATTTATCAGCTGTTTAACTTTGTTCTAGAGGTATTCATCAATGCAATTAAACAGAAGAAAAAGAAAGTTCTAAAAATTTGGAAGATAACAGCAGATGAGATGACTTGAAGCCACAATGATTGATGAAGAAAATTACTTCAAATACTAAGAAAGTTTAAGGTGGCCAGTACAAAATGTCTCTACAAAAATAGTAGCCTTCATATCCTCAACAGCAACCAGTTAGAAGATATGACAGAAGAAAATACTCCATTTATAATAACAAAAACAGAAGATTTAAAAAAAAGACTTCAGAAAATAGAATATATTGCATTATTGGATAGTTAGAATCAACATCTTTAAGACGCTATTTTCTGTTAATCTACATATTTAATATGATCAATACAAACTTCTTCCTGCTAGACAAGTTGATTCTAATGTTCATAATGATAAAAATTGTTAGCAAAATTCTGAAAAATAAAATTAAAAAGGAATGACTCATTTTACCAGACATTAAATACTTTAAAAACCCTTTCTCTACCAAAAACACAAAAGTAGCTGGGTGTGAGTCCGGGCCGGTGGCTCACGCCTGTAATCCAAGCACTTTGGAGGCCAAGGCGGGCGGATTACCTGAGGTTGGGAGTTCAAGACCAGCCTGACCAACATGGTGAAACCCTGTCTTTAAAAA